ATTTCCAAGTAGCGGAATGCTACAGAGGTAAACAAACAATATCATTTGGAAGAGGATTAATAAGTGTTGACATTCATACAAATGAGTAATCCTGTAAACGTAAACAGAATATTTTATATAGATTTTTTTTAATGAAAACTTAAAATCCTGCATTATTTTCCGGACAACCCAATAATTATAAAATCGCCGCATAGTCGTGTAAAATTCGATTTTGTTACCGTCCAAGGTGTCAAGTCTAATTATTCCGTGTTATTAAAAAGGGTGAAATTTTTGTAAGAAAATTGGATTTGATTGATGGTTAAAAACCAAGCGGTAAAATCATGTTTACGTCAAAGTCCGAATTTTTCGGAAAATCAAGAATTATTTTAAAAATCGTCTTCTCTCAACAATAATTTTGAATCTGGTGAACAATGTGTAAATGGATTAAGATTAGTTCTTAAATAAAGAATAATCGAATTTATTCTATTTTTAAAAAAATCTAATGAAGGGTTGTTTTGTACTTTCTGTTATGGAAAAAGGGAAAACGAAAGTGGGTTGGCTGAGACAGGTAGCTTGTTTGACAAAAGAAATTACTAGAAATAATTTGAAGTGGGGTGAGTATGGCAATTCACTTTTTGGAAATGATAGTTACACTGACAGAGGTTTTAGGCAGCTATCCGGATTTCGATTTTAATTATTTAGGTTCAGGCAGAAGATACAAATACGTCTCTCGACTTATATTGTACGAATAGCTTGTAAATCTTATAATGCAAAACACGTGGATTGTAACAACTGAATATTATCCTGCTATATATGCTGTAAGAGTAAATAATTTTAAATTAAGGATTAATTTGTTTTTTAAATATTATTAATGTACAAGTTTAAAATTAGTGGCAAATCAAAATTTATGACATTCAATTTATTATTCTTTATGTAAGGTATTGGTTGAGATAAAAAAGCCAGTGTCACGAGCGGGATTCGAACCTACGACCTTCGGCTAAATACGCCGCTGCTCAACCACTTGAGCTATCGTGACTTCGATCCACTCGGACACGGGGACCGCGGTGGCCGAGTGGTTAGCGTGAGAGACTCTCGGCTCATAAACGCCGCGGTCGTGGGTTCGATTCCCACCGTCGCCTCTGGCCCTTTTTTCACGATAACCCCCCCCCCCAAATATGAACACACATACAAGAATTTGTCACCATGGTTAATATGCATAAATCAAAGGCAAAAAAAAAAAAAAAATTCACTCGGACACCAACTTCCCATCTCAACCTTCCTTTCGAATTTTCCCTCCTTTTTCCCATTTTACAAATGTAGTGTAATCAGGATTCGATTCTCGGCGATAAATGTGATGGAAAGTCGGTGTCCGAGTCGATCGAAGTCACGATAGCTCAAGTGGTTAAGCAGCAGCGGATTTAGCCAAAGGTCGTGGGTTCGAGTCCGTCTCGTGACACTAACTTTTCATCTCATTCAACCAATACCTTACAAAAAGTTTAATTAATTGAAAAAACTTATTTGATCAATCGGACCACGAAATAGAATAGATCTAATACATTTTGTATGCATTTATCTCCATATTTAACCTTACATTTTTAAATTGAAAAATTCGCACACCAATCTAGTTACTTCCCTGTTTTTCCCTAAAACTGTGTAATACTGTGGTTCTTGAATTTAAATTGATTTTTTTGAAATTTAAGTGGTCCTTGGTGGTGGATTTAGTCAAGTTTTCTTTAACTCTCGTTTTAATTTCTCTTCTGCTTTGTCCTATATATTTAATGTAGCAATCGTTACAAATAAGGTTGTCAGCCTTGTTTTTAGGTTTTAGTATGTTTCTAAGAGATCACCCACCTCTAAAAGCTATTCTAAAACCTTTTCGTTTATAAACTTTACCTACTTTTCCCGTTAGTTCAAACACCTTCTTTCATTTTTGCCGACGTTTCGGCTTTTATTCGGGACATCTTCAGACCCGGGACAAGAAGACCCGAGACAAGAAGGCCCGAATAAAGGTCGAAACGTAGGCAAAAAAATGAAAGAAGTGTTTTTCTAAACTACCTCCTTCTTGGCCGCTCCTCACGACTTCAACAAATTATGAAACAACAGGTCACTAAGAAATACACATTAATTATTTTTCTGTTTTTACTAGCCAGCTATCGATCAATATTTCTTGATATCCATTGTTTTTAGCCAAGTTTTTAATGTTTTTTGCGACTCTTTTTTATAATTAACAGGTGACAATGTGAGTTTCAATATACGGTCTATGAGACAAATGAAACCAGTAGCATTATAGGTCCATGGATAAGAATAATCTACTCGTATCATGGTGTCGGTAGTTATGCGTTTTTTATACGTTTATTTTAATTAAGTTATTCATTTTGGACAGTTTTAAGCCTGAAAAGTTTAAACCAACAAACAACTTTATTTATTTCCAATGTCAAATTTATACTAGGGTATAAAGACTTAATTAAATGGAAAAAAATTTATATATACTCTAGGGTTCACGACCAATACTACTTAGTGTTTCCAAAATAGGACAGATTTATTTAATTTGTTTTTCGATTCAAATAGAATTTTTTTTTAAAGTGGTCCATCAATATTCTCCATGCCACGAATTCGCGATAAGAATAGATAAAATAATTAAAACCCACACTAACATCAAAGCTAAATTCGGTATTAAACATTCTTTAGGACTGATGAAACAACAAAAGAACAGAAATATTCCTAACGACTTTTAATCCGCGTTTTTTCGCACGTTCAAAATTGAGCGGCACGAAAAACCAGCTGTTCGTTGAAACGACGCGCTGGCGATGTATTTACAAGCCGTTCCTACAATTCACGTCGAAACTTCTGTGAGTAGAACTAAATTATCCAAAAAGTGAAAAAAAAATTCTACCCATTCGAATAAGTGTTTCAGTAATTTGTTACAAAATGCAAACAATAAAATAAAACTAAAAAAGATATCAAGCGTGGGAGATGTGGCATCGCCATGTGTAAAACTGATTGATGTTAAAAAAAATTAAAAAATAACAAATGTTAAAAGTTAATCAAGTCGATTTTCTGATTAAGGATAATTAAGGCATTTTCATACCTATTTCATTCTTAAGTATATCACTTGCTTCTCTAATATTAAGAAACTCCGGCGATTCAGAATAGCCACGTGACTTGCTACTACCTGCAGATATATTAAACTTTCAGGCTTACAAAACTTGACGAATATGGACTAGATTAAGCGAGACAATAGCCACCGAATTAACAAAGTTTCTCCGGGAATCATCTAATTCCAAAAATCCGAAATCCAGGTCCTGAGGGGTTTTAGATGTCTATACTTAACAAAGGTCTATGTTTTAAACATATACCGTCTCCCGTTCTAGCCGTTTTACTTAGTATTGGATTGTTTTATTTATACCCGGGTAGTAATAAATAGTTTATAGTATTTCAAGCTTACTTACTTTTCCCCAGATGGATGATGATTTCACAGTTATATAATCTACTTTAGATAAAACTTATTATATTAAATTTTCAATATGAATTACCAACTCACGTTTCCTTTAAAATTTTTAATTTGGAAAGATAGTTGCTTTGTAATTTATTTGTACTAAACGTTTTTTCTTTCGTTTCAGTTCCTAGGAAAGTGCTCCGGGAGCAATACGAAGAGAGGCCTGAAGAGGACGAGATGTTGCTGGTGGTAGATGACGATACTGAATACGACTCGATAGACGAAGACAACAGCCTCCTTCCATCGCCGAATTTGGCCGGAAGACACAACACGTCGTACGGCCTTCCGGCGACTGGCTCGCCGAAAAGACGTCCCGATTCTTCATCCATGCCGCCCGTCGGCCCGAAGCCGGGAAATAGGACTTTTCAACACGGATCAGGTAGAAAATAAAACGCTCAAGAACACTTTCTAATTTATGCCTCTTGCTTTCCTTGGACTGGGTTGAAACTTGAAATAACGTGGTGGTATTGCTCTTTTTCCAGATGATACCAAAAGGAGATTGTGTACGTAGGGGGGGGGGGGGGTTCCTGTAAATATGTACAGTATATGTGTCAGATTGTTGATCTTCCCTATTGGTTTACATGCTTTGGCACAGTTGCTCTGGTTTGACTTCGGTTAAAATATTCAATTTTCCTCCAATTCGCATTTATAACAACTAAGCTATAACTTAAATCTCCTCTTGAACATATTTTGTCCACCTGCACTGGAACTATTAATAGATAATTCAACAAAATCCAAACAGACCTACCTTCAGGTCGATAACTCACTAAAATTAAAATTTGAACACTCCTTTTGTAAATAAGGATTCGTAAAAGCTTCGCTTAGCTTATATCTTATTTCAACTACAAAAAAAACCGTCAAAAATTTAAAAGGTTTTCGAGGTTTGTCAATTTTATGCTCTTTTATATAAAGAACAGTTTATTACAAAATGAAATTATAGTTGCATTGAAAAATTGCAAAAAAATAAACGGGATTTTGCATAAAAAAACGAATATTCTTTTCTATTATTTCCTTTTTTAATGGTAATCTACGTTTTCATTTGAACCTTAATGCGATTTTATGAAAAACCTTTAAAAATCGGTTCAGAAAAACGTTGTTGTTTTGCAAATCGTAACTCGTTAAAGTGAACCAAAATTTCGGCACTCGCGTATTTCCTCCACATCTCGGAAAAATATTGAACCATTTATATGGAACCTAACCCGTCCCTAAACTTATTACTAATCTTAATCCAAATTCTAACTTTTACCTTAATCCTAACACCAACCATAATACAATACCATAAAGCTAATCCCAACACTAACTTACAATAACCCTAACCCAATCAAACTTAATCCTAACCCTAATCTCATCTAATTCATCCCAAAAAAAAACCTTACCCTAATTCTAACACAAACTCAGCCTAACATGTCAATAACTCTAACCCCTGCATTAATCTTATCTCTAAGCCTAATCCTAAATTCATCTAACCTACCCTTACCCTGATGAACCTATCCTCAACACCAATTCTAGCCCTAGTCAAACCTGATCTTCCCTAACAAATCTTAACCATAATTCGTCCCTAAACCTAATCCTTTATCTAACCGAGCCTAACCCTGGACAAACCTACTCCTAACATCAATTTTTCTAACCTAACCTAAACCGTTCCTAACGCGAACTACAACACTAACTCTCCTTTACCTCACCTTAATATAGCAGTAACATAACCATATCTAACCTAACGTAACAAGTCCCTCAACTTATTACTAATCTTAATCCAAAGTCTAACTTTTACCTTAATCCTAACACCAATCATAATACCATAACACTAATCTCAACACTAACTTACCATAACCCTAACCCTATCAAAATTAATCCTAACCCTAATCTGATCTAATTCATCCCCAAACAAACCTAACCCTAATTCTAACACTAACAGCCTAACATGTCAATAACTTTAACCCCTGCATGAATCTTATCTCTAAGCCTAATCCTAAATTCATCAAACCTAGCCTTCTCCTAACGAACCTATCCTCAACACTAAGTCTAGTCCTAGTCTAATCTGATCTTTCCTAACAAAACCTAATACAAATCTTAACCATAATTCGTCCCTAAACCTAATCGTTTATCTAACCGAGCCTAAGCCTGAAAAAACCTACCCCTAACTTAAATTTTTCTAACCTAACCTAATCCATTCCTAACCCGAACTACAACCCTGATTCTCCTTTACATTTACCTTTACGACCTTAATCCTAACAATAACATAATCTTATCTAACCTAGGAATAAGAGGGATAAAAGAGGCGGCCACAAGGCCTACTGCACCTCGACCTAGATAGATCTATTGTGATGTATCTAACCTAACATAACCCGTCCCTAATCTTACTTCTAACCTTGTCCCACAAAAGGGCGATGACACACGGAGCGGTTTTGACCGAAGCGTTTATCGTGAGAAAAATCGAGGCGGTGCGTCGTTCATTGTTGTTGCATATAACCTGACAGACGTAGCGGTCGTACCCGCCTGTCGGTTTTCAAACCGAGTCGGTCGGTGGCGGAGACGACCCAACGCGTCGGTTTTGAAAACGCCAGGCGGTGAGTGGTACCCAAGTATTGCATCAGCCCTGACACACGTGGCGTTTATTTGAGCTGTTTTTCTTGTTTGTTCCCCACTTTCTTGAGGGGTTGTTCGTTTGTCAGTCTTCTAATTTACTTTTATGATGCAAAAAATAGACGTGGAGAAAAAAATTTGTAATGCGGCATTTTATTTTACTATGTAACTCGTCAAAACTGCCCATTTACAACCTGGTAATGTTAAAACATTCTTCAGGGTGTTTCCTCATCTCTGAAAACAAATTCTTAAAATGCCCTCTTTCGCTTCTCTTCTCGACAATTGGATGAACCCACATTCTCCTGTGTTTTTTCTCCATTCTCTTCTTCCAACGATAGTACAACAGACACCAGAAGTATCTCTTCATCCATGGGAACTCCATGGGGAATGGGCCAATGCCAGTTCAATAAGATTAATAAATAATAGAATTTTAGCTAATTCTCAACTTCCTGACGCCTAAGCTTTACATATTGATACTTAACCACCACTAAAAATGGGGGGGAAAATCTAAGTATTTACAGATTGTACGGTGCTGTACAGTAACACAACCGTTTTTAAAACGAACTCACCTTCCTCCAGGGCCTCTTTTAACTTTACAACTACTTGAAAGTACATCACCCTATAATTAAATGATTTCTACAGCTTTACGGGTACAAAGTATGCGTATGACTGTCGGTGATACATGGTAGTAACTAGTTTAATAAAGATTTTGTTTTGAATATTATCTGGAGGAGGAAGGGGACCTCGTTCAAATCCCAGCTCTGTGCCTTTTAAATTATAGTATGAAAAATGAAAAGTAGTTTAAACCTTGCTTGACTCTGAACAGGAATTACTTTACTTTTATTGATCAGAGAGGATTGATTTTTTTTTGTTGGGGGGAGCGAAACGGGAATCGAACCTACAACTGCAGGATCTAAGCCGAGAGTCTGACACGCCTACTCGGCTACCCGAGATCCCAGTTAAATATAAATCAACTTAAATATTTATTTTTAAAGACTATTTTTCAAAACTTCATAGAGAAAAGAAAACCGAACGAGACGTAGAGTGTAGATAACTGTGAGATTTCACTTTGTAGCCAGTTCCATGGAAAGTTCATCAAAGAAAAAACAGTACTGCATGGGGGGAATGGTCTGTAAGGCTGTAACTAATACACGAAGTTACATACATGCGTTCCCGATTTTCTCATCGTCAACAAGACAAGAGGATCTTTAACGTCCGCACCTGGCCTATTCGGCCTTATCGGACGCTTTGATTCTCAAGATGAGAGCTGACGCACTTCTGCATACGACGGAAGTGTTACCGCCGGAGCATTGGTGTAGTGGTGTCCCGGCCCCTAAGAGTCAGTAGCCACGCTCTCCGCTTGTCCACTTCGAATGGTCGGGCCCGCATTATGCGTCGGGTCGTACGCCGCACGCGAGGGGCTAACGGGCCGAAATACATCAGCCCGTCCCCCCTCGCGTACTCCCTAGATAGAGAAGGCGACTCTATCTCTCTGAGTGTAGAGGCTCCTCCAGCGTAGAAACTTTCGGGAACGCCTCGACAGCGGTTTCGGATTATAAAGTGGGATTGCTACCACCTAGATGAGCACTGTCTACGGACAAAGGTCTCTTATCGAGCTCAGCCTACACCTCGAAGTTACATACAGTTACAGAATAATATATTTATTAAACAGGACTTGTTATACAAACTGCAAAATAACACCTTGCGACTGTCAATGCTTATATGCACTGCTGTAGGATACATTTAATAACTGAGAGAAAACAAAACCGCTTCGGCCAAAACGCACATCATACCGCTGCATGTGTCACAACCTAGCAAAACCGCTCAGTGTGTCAGCGCCCTAAACGTTGTCCAACGCGACCTTAGCCAAATCTAACTCTTATCCTAGCTCTAACCTGAACGAATACACGCTTAACTCTAATCCTTATCTAACCGAATATATATTAAAATATATATCTCTATCCTGGCGCTTTATACTCATATAGTTTATCCGTTCCTTTATTCTAATCTAATCTTACCCTAGCCTAAACCATGCTTAACCCTAACCCTTTTCCTACTTAACGTAATCTAACCCTAAAACAGTAGGGAGGTTGCTGTCGTATTTTAATTTTCTTTTAATATTTGTTAAATGAATACCTTTTAGGGTTGATACACAAATTTTTTTTGCGTGACCATTTTTGAATCACATTAGAAGTTCCGGGGAGTGTGCATGTTTTGGCTTAGGCCCATATTACAAGAAAATTATTAAAATATCTACATAATGAAACATAAGGCTTATAAAAGAAAAATCAAATCATCTATAAACAGTTTAATATTTTTAAAGTACTTTTTGAATACAGTAGTAAGTTGACACCCTACATATATTATTATATAATGAAATCATTGCAAAACAGCTAATACCACAGGATGGTAATGTAATCTCGAACTATTTTGGATTAAATTATAATTAAACAGATATAAATTACATACACGTGTATTCCAAACATACGTTTATATGCATTGAAGTTTCTCTATTAATGTAACTAGAGTAAACAAGAGAGGTGGAGGTCCAGACAACGATAAGGTTTCAAGTACACTTCAACTACACGAAAAGCAACATGGCTAAAGTTTGTTCTGTTAAAGTTGTTTTGCACTAATATTTAAGTTACAGTAAAAAAAAAATCCTGCAACATCGTCTACTTTAGTTACTGATGGTTAGAATAATTTATTTTTTTTACACTATGATTTTTTTTTAAATCTAGCGATCTCGTGGATAAAACGATAACGACTGAAAAAATCGAAACTGCAAACCAACATAACAATTCTGATAAATATAGTTGAATTTTTGAAATCAGATATTAACTTAATAAAATTTAATAATAAGAGTGATTCCATGTGAACAAGAGAAAGACAGAAAGTATAAATAATTGTTGTAGTCTTT